CAGGGATGGTAATGCCTCCAGACAATCCTTTATTGTATAAGATTGTTTTGGCTATCCTGGGTTTTTTGTTTTTCCATATAAAGTTAATTATTGTCTTCTCCAGATCTGTGAAGAATTTTGATGGGATTTTGATGGGGATTGCATTGAATCTATAGATTGCTTTTGGTAGAATTGCCATTTTTACTATGTTGATCCTCCCAATCCAAGAGCAAGGGAGGTCTTTCCATTTTCTGGTGTCTTCTTCAATTTCTTTCTTCAAAGACTTATAGTTCTTGTCAAGTAGATCTTTCACTTCCTTGGTCAGGGTTACCCCAAGGTATTTTATGCTATTTGTGGCTATCGTGAAAGGTGATGCTTCTCTGATTTCCCTCTCTGCTTCCTTATCCTTAGTGTATAGGAACGCAACTGATTTTTTGGAGTTGATCTTGTATCCTGCCACATTACTAAAGCTGTTTATCAGCTGTAGGAGTTCTTTGGTAGAATTTTTGGGGTCGCTTATGTACACTATCATATCATCTGCAAATAATGAAAGCTTGACTTCTTCCTTTCCAATACGAATCCCCTTGATCTCCTTATGTTGTCTTATTGCTATTGCTAGAATTTCAAGCACTATATTGAAGAGGTATGGAGAGAGTGGACATCCTTGTCGTGTTCCTGATTTTAGTGGGATGGCTTTGAGTTTTTCTCCGTTTAATTTAATGTTAGCTGTTGGCTTGCTGTAAATAGCTTTTATTATATTTAGGTAGGACCCTTGTATCCCTATTCTCTCTAAGACCTTTATCATAAAGGGGTGTTGAATTTTGTCGAATGCTTTTTCCGCATCTAGTGAAATGATCATATGGTTTTTTTCTTTCAGTTTATTTATATGGTGGATTACATTGATAGATTTGCGTATGTTGAACCAGCCCTGCATCTCTGGGATGAAGCCTACTTGATCATAATGGATAATTTTTCTTATGTGTTCTTGGATTCGGTTTGCCAGTATTTTATTGAAGATTTTTGCGTCGATGTTCATGAGTGAGATCGGTCTGTAATTCTCTTTCTTGGTTGGGTCTTTTTGTGGTTTTGGTATCAGGGTAACTGTAGCTTCATAAAAGGAATTTGGCAATGACTCTTCTGATTCTATATTGTGAAATACATTAAGGAGTATAGGTATTAGTTCTTCTTGGAAGTTCTGGTAGAATTCTGCATTGAAACCATCTGGTCCTGGGCTTTTTTTCGAAGGGAGATTTTTGATAACCATTTCTAATTCTTCGCGAGAAACCGGTCTATTTAGATCATTCACCTGGTCTTGGTTTAGCTTTGGTATATGATACTTATTTAAAAAAATGTCCATTTCTTTTGTATTTTCCAGTTTTGTGGCATACAGGCTTTTGTAGTAAGATCTAATGATTCTCTGAATTTCCTCTGTGTCTGTGGTTATGTCCCCCTTTTCATTTCTGATCTTATTTATTTGCGTGTTCTCTCTCTGTCGTTTAATTAGTTTGGATAGGGGTTTGTCGATCTTGTTGATTTTCTCCAAGAACCAGCTTTTTGTTTCATTGATTCTTTGGACTGTTTTCTGTGTTTCTATTTTGTTGATTTCAGCCCTCAGTTTTATTATTTCCAGTCTTCTACTTCTCCTGGGCGCGTCTGCTTCTTTTTTTTCTAGAGCTTTCAGGTGTGTTTTTAAGTCCCCAATGTATGCATTCTCCGTTTTCTTTAAGTGGGCACTTAGTGCTATGAACTTTCCTCTTAGCACTGCTTTCATTGTGTCCCATAGGTTTGAGTATGTTGTCCCTTTATTTTCATTAAATTCAAGGAAGACTTTAATTTCTTTCTTGATTTCTTCCTTGACCCAGGTGTGGTTCAGTAGTTGACTGTTCAGTTTCCATGAGTTTGTCGGTTTTTTGGGGGCAGCGTGGTTGTTGCCTTCTAACTTTAATCCGTGATGATCTGATAAGACACAGGTGGACACTGATATTTTTTTATATCTGTGGAGGTTTCCTTTGTTACCAAGTATGTGATCAATTTTTGAGAAGGTTCCATGAGCTGCAGAGAAGAAGGTATATTCTTTCCTATTTGGGTGGAATGTTCTATAGATGTCTGTTAAGTCCATTTGCTTCATTACCTCCAATAATTCTCTTAATTCTCTATTAGGTTTCTGTCTGATTGACCTGTCCCTTGGAGAGAGAGGTGTGTTGAAGTCTCCTACTACTAGTGTGTGTGGTTTGATGTCTGCCTTGAGTTCTAGTAATATTTCTTTTACATAAGTAGGTGCTTTTATATTGGGGGCGTATATATTCAGGATTGAGACGTCCTCCTGATGAATTGTTCCTGTTATGAGTATAAAGTGACCGTCTCGGTCTCTTCTGATTGATTTTAGTTTGAAGTCAGTTTTGTTAGAAATTAGTATGGCCACACCTGCTTTTTTCTTAGGACCATTTGCTTGAAAGACCTTTTCCCAACCCTTTACTCTGAGTAGGTGCCTGTCTTTGTGGTTGAGATGTGTTTCTTGCAAACAGCAGAATGTTGGATCCTGTTTTCGTATCCAATCTTTTAGCCTGTGCCTTTTTATAGGTGAATTGAGCCCATTAATATTAAGTGATATTAATGACCAGTGGTTGTTTACTCCGGTTATTCTTATTGCTTTTGGTAGTAGAGATTGTGTGTCTCCCTTCTTTGAGATGTGCTCGTGAAGGGTCATTAGATGCCTGGGTTATTATAGGCAGTGTTGGCAGTGTTGGATTCCTTGGGTTGCGATTTTCCTTCTATTACTTTCTGTAGGGCTGGATTTGTGGCTACGTATTGTTTAAATTTGTTCTTATCCTGGAATGTCTTGTTTTCTCCATTGATAATGAACGATAGCTTGGCTGGGTATAGTAGTTTGGGTTTGCATCCATGGTCTCTTAGCTTCTGCAGAACCTCTATCCAGGACCTTCTGGCTTTCATAGTTTCCATCGAGAAGTCAGGTGTAAGTCTGATCGGTTTACCTTTATAAGTTACTTGCCCTTTTTCTTTTGCAGCTCTTAATATTCTTTCTTTAACCTGTATATTTTGTGTTTTGATTATTATATGGCGAGGAGATGTTTTTCTTTGATCCAGTCTGTTTGGTGTTCTGTATGCTTCTTGAATATTTAAATGAATATCTTTCTTTAAGTTGGGAAAGTTTTCTTCCATAATTTTGTTGAAAATATTTTCTGGGCCTTTGAGGTGTGACTCTTCTCCTTCTTCTATTCCTATTATTCTTAGGTTTGGTTTTTTTATTGTGTCCCATAGTTCCTGAATGTTTTGTGTTGAGAATTTGTTGGCTTTGCTGTTTTCTTTGATCTGTTCGTTTATTTTCTCTATGGTGTCCTCAGCATCTGAGAGTCTTTCTTCTAGCTCTTGTATTCTATTGATTATGCTTGTTTCTGTAGACTCTGCTTGTTGGCCTAGATTTTCCATATCCAGCTGGTCCTCAGTTTGTATTTTCTTCTTTGCCTTCATTTCAGTTTTCAATTCTTGAACTGTTTCCATTACCTGCTTGATGGTTTTTTCTTGGTTTCCCAGGGTATCATGTACATATTTACTCATTTCTTCAAACTTTTTGTTATACTTCTCATCCATTTCTATAAGGGCATTTTTTACATGTTGTTTAAGGGACTCTATTATCTTCATAAAGTCGATTTTTTCCACTTCTTCTGTGTTAGGTTGTTCAAATACTTCTGTTGTAAGATCATTGGGTTCTGATGTTTTCATGTTGTTTTTCGGATTATTGGGTGAATTCTTGCCTTGGCGCCTGCCCATTTCCTCCTATTGATCCTATCCAATGGGTCCTTTAAAAACCGGATCAGGTTTCCCTGCTGGCCAAGGGCTCCGCTTACAAAATGCCCTCACTCTCTTTCGTGGTTCCTGCTGCAGGCCAAGAACCCTCTCACCCCTCCGAAGGATCTTCAGGACAGGACCAGGCTCCCCTTGTGCCAGTGACCTGGCCCACCAAAAGCCTACCTCTTTGATTCAATTGTAGTAGGGCGAACTGCTCTCCTTATTGCACGCCTGTCCCTGCCGCTTGGGTCTGCAGCTGCGCTGGTCCCCGAAAGCCTCTTCCTGTCTGGCCGCCGCGCCGCTCCGCCGCGTCTGGCCGCCGCGCCGCTCCGCCGCCGCGTCTGGCCGCCGCGCCGCTCCGCCGCCGCGTCTGGCCGCCGCGCCGCTCCGCCGCCGCGTCTGGCCGCCGCGCCGCTCCGCCGCCGCGTCTGGCCGCCGCGCCGCTCCGCCGCCGCGTCTGGCCGCCGCGCCGCTCCGCCGCCGCGTCTGGCCGCCGCGCTGCTCCGCCTCTGCGCGTCTCTGTTCGCATGAGTCTTATGTTTGAGCAGGAATATTACATTTGCTTGACTTTGTTCTTCTGGGTCACTGGCAGGGCCAGTTAATGTAAAGTATATTTTCCATCTTAGAATTGATTAGTTGCCAACAAATTTTAGTTCTAAACAAAGCATGTTATCTATGTTTGCCCTCTGTTTAGAGACTTAATGCAGTGTTTTAAGATTTGGTTCTGTTGGCAGCATCATTAGTTCTAGAACAAAGTTTCTGAGAACATACAGGTTATATGAATGAGAATGAACCCATAGACTCATGTGTTTGAATATGCTGTGCCCAGTTGGTAGAGCTGTTTGAAAAGAAGAAGGAGGTGTGGCCTTTTTGGAGGAGCTGTGTCATTGGGACTGTGAACTTTGAGGTTTCAAAAGCCCAGGCATTTCCCAGTTAGCTCTCTCTCTCTCTGTTTTCTGTTTGTGGTATTGAGATGTAAGATCTTATCTGCTACTCCAGCCAACCCGTCTGCTGCTTGGTGCCATGCTGCCCTGCTATAGTGGGCCCTTATCCCTCTGTAACCTCTTCCTTATGTAAGTTGCCTTGGTCATAGTGTTTTTATCACAACAGAAGAATAACCAAGACAGAGCTTAGTAGGAGAACATTTGATTATTTTTCCTTTTTGGAGAGAAGTGTCCCTTCTACTCTGTGACCTTTGGCATTCTCTATTTCAGACTTCCAGAGAGACGGTCTTTCCGGGCCTACACAGCTGTTCTGTATTTTGATCCTCGAATGAGAATATTTATTCAAGCCAAAAGAGTTCAGACAAAGCACTTATGTTACTCCCTCTACAAACCCAGGTAACATGCTTCTTTTTTATTATTTTCTTGGGGATTTTACATGTACAATTGATAGAACTCCTCACATTCTCAAGAGGAAGACAGCGACTGGTGGTAGGTATTTCACAGTGCTCTCAGGAAAGACTAAACACTGCAGGGAAGCACACTAAGTTTGATAAGGACCCTTAATAGGAATTACTTTTTCACTCTAGGGTGTTAGTTGTGATGGTTTCCATGCCGAGAACACAGTTGGATGTGTTTTCTGTTTGCATAGCATATTTGAACGATTAGGCTTCATGCAGTATCGTTACATATAATAATGTTCTTCAGGATGAGCTTATATGATAGTGTTACCATAGGATTTTTACCACTTAATGGTGACACAAGTGTCATGATGTTGCCTGTACACTATGGCTGATGACACAGTCTCCAGACTATAACACAGTATCTCTATCATTTATGCATGGTATTCATATAGAATGAGCAGATATAAAATACCTGGTCCATTTATCACATATATATGTACATATATATATATATATATATATATAGTCTTATTTTTGTTATTTTTATTTTATTATTTTATGTGCATGGGTATTTTTGCCCTCATGTATGTCTATGTACTACTTGCCCGCAGGATCCACTGAGGTCATAAGAGGGCCTTGGATCAATGGAACTAAAGTTGGAGTACTAGGAATTGAACCAGAGATGCTTAGTTATTTCTCCAGCTCCTTATTTGATATACTTTAATGTAAAAGTTAACTTGACTTTTCATGATATAGAATCAGTCTTGCTCAACTCTTCATGCAGTAACATTGGTCTTTTCTTTTGCTGTGTTTTCTGGGTGTTCATTAATTCGTACAAGAGATTAGCATAATCGTGGGTCAGACTGGGGTGGTAACAAAGAGGAATAATTCTCACTTAAGGAGCTTGCCATCCACTGGGAGAAACAGTGCTTGTATACTGGGTAAATATATACATTTTTAACTATTTTATTTTCTGCAGTGCTTCTTTGGGGTTTTGTTTGGTTGAAATCATCATCGGTGTTAGAGATCTGCACAAAGCGCAAATCTTCTGACTCTGTTTTTTTTTTTTTTAAATCAGTCCAAATTTGTTGCTCCTTCACCTACATCACATTAACTTTTGATAAAAGACCTTCACCATCTATTATGTTGTCATGGTGTCTTGAAAAGTCAGCGTCTAGCCTGGGGCTTTCAAATTCCTCGTAGAGATGTAATTTAAAAAGTACAGACCACTTTGATTCTGTGCCCTCATTAAACAGCAATGGATTTCTCACGAGCTTTAATTTTGATATCTGTTTATACTGAAGATCATCTTTTAAAAGTAAAGTGTGCACAGAGTGAGACCGTGTCAGGCTGTTCATTCCCTAGTAAATATCAGACATGTTTCCTTTCCATCAGTCTCATTCTTGTGGGAGGTACCAAGGGTCTCCTGGATCAATCAGCTACTCTTTTCAAATTATTCCTTTTAGTGAGTTTGGTTAAGAAAAATGTTCAAACCATTTGAAAGTGGATTTGTTTCCATTTTCTGAGTAATTTGAGTAAGCAAACTTTTATAATCTGAATTACTTTTGTTGACCAATTGTGGTTCTTATGTATATGTTTGCACTCACCTTCTGAAGTGACAGTCACACATTCTTATGTGCTGGTGTCACAAGCCTCTTTCCTTCAACATAATCTCGCCAGTATTTTCACCAGATCTGATTGTAGATTGGTGTGGGAGAATTGTCTGTATTCTGTCAATTATGTTTTAAATAAACGCTGATTGGCCAGACAGGAAGTATAGGCAGGAAAACCAGACAGGAACTAAAAATGATGCAATGAGAACAGGAAAATTCTGGGAAGGTGGAAGTTGATTCCTCCCACTCCTGCCCAGACTCCAAAGAAGCAAGATGTGAGCTGCCTTGCTGAGAAAGGTACTGAACCATGTGGCTAACATAGATAAGAACAATGGGTTAATATAAGCTAGAAGAGCTAATAAGAAGCCAGAGCTAATGGGCCAACCAGTTTTATAACATATAGAGATCTCTGTGTGATTTTTTTTGGGGATTGCCAGCTGTGGGAACTGGGCAGGGCAGAAACCCCAACAAACCTGGCCCTGCTCATGTTACAGTAGATGGTTGTGAGCCACCATATGATTGCTGGGAATTGACTTCAGGACCTTCTGGAAGAATAACCACTACTCTTAACCACTGAACCATCTCGCCAGCTCATGTGAATGCTTCTCAAATTCATAGTTGACCCTGCTCTAGTGGAGACAGATCATAGAAGCAGTGCCAGAAACAAGGTGTGAAGAGATGAAGTTCAGGGAGCAAATATGAGGTAAATAACTGATAGACCAGCCTTTAGATTTTTAAAACTGTATGTAAACATAAAACTGATAGTGATTTACATGAACAAGTGATTAGGTACTGTAATTGCCCCAGAGTGTTGGTTTTATTTCATAGGATGATATGGTTGCTAAATGAGGTTATGGAACTTAGCTGTAGAACATGACAGTCATAGCTCCAGTCAACCATGACTGTAGAAAGACATCCAGAATCAGATCCTTTTAGTGTGACACATGCCACTCCATTACATCTCTTTCATGGAAAATAGCTCTCTGGACAAGACCATTGGTAGGCCTGAGGATGGAGGGGAGAACATGCTGCTGGATGCAAACATGGAAGGCTGCCATGCAGTTGATACAATTCTGGGAGACAGACCTGGGATGCCTGAGCAGAAGACAGAGCTAGTCGAACATGATGCCATTGGGCTGTTTCCACAGTGAAGGGATGCATATCTGACCTTTCCCCATTACTGCTTTTTACGAAGATATTCGAAGAATCAAGTCAAGGGAGCCCTTACAGCTGCCTTGCCTTCACCTCACCCTTGAGGGGCAGGCAGATAGGTAGAGGTTAGACAACTCTAGCCACTGAGCTAAGAGGCCTGGCCCAGGGCCTATACTCATTCTGTGGCCTCAGATGAAGGACTAAGAAACGAAGAGCTAGGGAAGTCCATTCCTTCTCCAGTGGATGCTTTACTCCATCTCTTTTCCTCTGAGGTTTCATTAGCAGGGAGTGGAGGGATGCGTAAAGAAGTACCAGCATGCTGGAGGCTTCCATTTCTGCAGCGGAGATTTGAGCACTTATTTTTGTGTTTATGAGATCGATCAGTTTTGCTACTTTAATATTTTAGAGATGCACACACAGAGTGTGTTTAAATTGTCTCAAACAATTCGAAAGTTGAAGTTGTAGACCAGCATGCAGATCGTCTGGGATTATTTCACTCAATTTTCAGCCTATTATTGTAAATTGAGCAGTAATGCAGAGTTGACACCTCTAGTGCCACCTTTAGTTCATACAAAAAAAATGCTTGAATAGCTTAATTCACATTCTTTGAAAAATTGCTTCATTGTTTAAACAATATCCCCTTAATTTCATTTTTATTCTAAAATTTAATTTAACCTAAAATGAATGATTCAAACCTGATAAAGTATATGATTAGAACATGATTTTTAAAAACAAATGATAATTTCAGGATATGGTCACCAATAATTGTATGCCTCCAAACTTAGGTTTGCTGTTCACTGAGTGTAGTAGAGACTAATTTGCACTACACCGAGGTTATAATTTGAATGAGCTATATAAGTGTAAAAGAAAATCAAAGGAACAGACTGATTAGAACTTCACCTTAGATTTTAGAGGTGTTTCTTCTCAGTGGCCAATCTTAGCTTCTCTCAAAGTGGACATGGAAGTTAGCAACGAGAGCTACAAAGTTAGATCTTAGAATAAATGCCAACTGAACCATTGCAGTGGAAGCGTACGGGATGGCATTTGTTTTTGCTGTTGCTGTGTCTTTTGTTTTGGTTGTGCTAGAGCAAGATCCCAGGTCTTTGGTTGTTCTAAGTAAGCATTCTCTTACTGAGTCACACAGCCAGTCTGTCTTGAGTTTCTGTCGCTAAGAAAACACACCATGACCAAAAGCAAGTTGGGGAGGACAGGGATTGTTTCATTTAGAAATCCAGGTAACCATCCATCACTGGGTGAAGTCAGGACAGGAACTCAAGCAGGGTAGGAACCTGGAGGCAGGAACTGATGCAGAAGCCATGGAGAGGTGCTGTTACTGCTAGCTCTTCATGACTTGCTCAGCCTGCTTTCTTGCAGTACCCAGGATTACTAACCCAAGGTTGGCACCGTGGAACCACTCACCATGGGTTGAGCAGCCACTAATTGAGCAAATGCCTACAGGCCAACTTGCCCAATCTTCAGGAGACATTTTCTTCCTGAAGATTCCCCCCTCAGATGACTACCTTGTGTCAAGGTGACAATAAAGCTAGCAAGCACACCATCCGAGCATTTAGTTACTTTTAAAATATTTGCTTTTTCCTGTTAGTCACGCATCAAATTTTACAAGTTTTTCCACATTATGAAAAGGAAAGCAATCTTCTCTAAAACACACACTAGAGAGTTTAGACTATAAAAACACATACTGTGAACATATACAATGTTTATATATATAAACATAAACAAAGATGATTGCTTTAAGTTCTTTTAGATGTGTTAAAATTTCACTTCCTGTAACGGCCCTGAGCTACCATTGATAGCATGATAGCTTTTATACCTTTGCGGTTATTCAGCTGCTGCAAATGTGGCTGACTCAACTTTCCACTCCTATAAGGGGTACAGACTGACCTGGACCAAGGCAGAAAGACTCCAGGAAGGCCAGTTCAGCATTTGATCATGAAGCTGCTGCGTCCTGTGTCTGGACTGCATCTGTTTCGATAATGGAAGATAATCATCAATAAACTGTAAACAGACTTCAGCTTCCAGCCATTTAATTGTGTTATGACCTGTTTGTATCAGCAATCACCTGAAGAATTTGCATTATTTCTTACATTGTTTAAAGTTCGTGTATAGGACTGGAGAGTCTGCTCAGTGGGACATAGCTGCCGTTCCAGAGGACCGGACTTCAGCTCCTACCTACCACCCTTGGTGGGAGGCTCACAACAAGTTAACTAACTTCCAGAAATCTGATATCCTCTTTGGGTCTCTGCAGGCACCCACAGACATGCGACATATACAGGGGCACATACCAGTAAATAAAAATAAAAACAAATCTTAAAAAAAAAAACTTTTAAAAGTCAGAATCTATAAAAGCCTTTCTAGATGAGACCATAATTTATTGAGTGTTGCCAACAGGTTGTTAGCCTCCTTCTGTAGGAAGCATGTTAGTAAGTACATATTCTTTTTTTCCCTTTAATTTAAAAACTCTCAAAAATGGTGACATAGATGTGAGGCTGTCTTGGAAGAAGCCAGTGGCTCTCAGTCTGGTCCGTGGGCTATAGGTTGACCACCTGGTACACACTTGGGACAATGCACACTTAGTGCAATGCACGCTTAAGGCAAAGACAAACAATGATTGTCCTTGCTGGCTTACCCTTCAGATGGGCATGTCCTCCAAGAACACATTCCCAGATCCACTCAGAAGGACCCTTTACCAGCTCCCTGGGCAGCTCATAGTGCAGTCATGCTGACACTTACAATTAGTTGTCACACGCCTTTGTAAGCGAGATGTTGAGTGACTGGTGAGCTCCCGAGTCAATGGCAGTACAAAGCAAAAGCATGGAGTGAGACCTGTAGTGCTCCGGGCTTTCTCAAGCCTCACTATGTTAGACTGTTTCCTTCTATGATGATTCAAACCAAAATATAAGAGTCAGGTTCCAAGGATTCTCTCTAAATGCCTGTAACTTTAGCCACATCAAGGTGACCTATTACACAAAGTTTTTCTTCTTGAGTTTTTTTTATTAGCATGTGTTATTTGTAATGCAATGGATTTCATTATGACATCTTCATACATGAACGTGATTTATTCCAATCTTTATTGCTTTCTCTTGCCCTCTGTTAATCCCCTTTCTCCTCCCAAGCAATTCGCCTTACCTTTGTGTCTGTGTACGTGCATGTGTGCATACGTGTGTGCATGCGTCTGTGTGTGAGTGAATTTCATTAGGGTTGTTTACAGGACCATGGGTGAGAACTTGTTTGTCCCATTGATGAAAACAGATTTTTTTGTTCTAGTTTTCTCCGCTATTGCCATGATAAACAGCGTGACCGTGGGGAAGAAAGGGTTTGTTTCATGTCATACTTCCAGTGCACCATGAAGGGAAGTCGGTGCAGGAACCTGGAGGCAGGAACTGAAGCAGAGGCCAGGGAGGAAGGCTGTTTACTGTCTTACTCAGCTTGCTTTCTTACATTAACCAGAGCACTGCCCGGGGTGGCCCCACCCACAGTGTGCTGGGCCCTCCCACATCAATCACTAACTAGAATGTATAGTGCAGCCATGCTCCTAGGCCATTCTGAAGGAGGATTTTTCTCCGTTGAAGTTCCCTCTTTCAAAGGACCATGACTCATGTCAACATTGACAACTATCCAGCTCTATCACCTCTTAACTGGGTAGAAATCCTCAAAGAGGGGTGTATCCCCGTGAGCCCCTCCTACTTCCACAATAGGATCTTGTGCAGATCTTAGCAATTACGCACAGCTGCTTGCATTCAAGAGCGCAGCAGCCGTGCCATGCTCAGAAGGTAGCCGCGTGCTTTTCCTCCACCCAGCTTCTTTTGTACTTAACAGTCTTTCTGATTTCTCTGCACTGTTCCCTGAGTCTTGGAGATAGTGTCATAGATGGGCTATTTGTGTCTTGTCACTCAGAGTTATTTATTCTCTGTGCTTTGACAAGCTATGAGTTTCTGCAGTCTCTGCTGACCACTGCAGAAAAGCTTCTCTGGCCAAAGCAGACAGTATCACTATCCTGTGAGCATAAACATAGCTATTTAGAAGACAGTTTGACAGGCGCTTCGTGATCATTTAGCAAAATAACAACAACAGCTTTCCCATTAGGGCCGATCACTGCCCCAAGCTGTAGGCTTTCGGCCAGGTTTATGCTACTGGATGTGAATTCTGTCCCATGGAGCAGTCACCAAGCCCAGTAAGAAAGCAGCTAGTCACTCCCCTAACAGACTCGCCACTATTGCACAAGTGGGCTCATCTTGCCTGGCTTGAGTCCACAGCTGTGTGACTATTGATGATAATTCTTCCAAGAGGCCTGCTTAGCCCCTTCCAGCACATTCAAGGCTAGCCAGCAGGGAGGAAGCTTCCAGAACAGTTCCAGCTTGCTTTCTCAATGTCCCATGACTAAAGCATGTGCCATCTTTAACACCAGGGTCTTAGAAGCTTGTTCTTGTGGTCAATCAATGGCAGGAGCAAATGCCTATATTCTGCTGAGGAGCTTCTTTGATCAACAGCTGTTGGGAAGGTGCCCCCACTCTGATTTTGCTTTCCTTGACTTCATAGGTTCATAGGTATATATATCAATTTCTTTTTCCTTGATTATTCTAGAATCAGCTTGCTGTTCTGAAACAATTGAACTTAAAAATAGGCTACTTCATAAATACAGAAGAAAGTTAGACTTTTAGTAGGTCAAATGACCTTTTATGTGTTTTTCTGAGCACGTCAGGCAGAGATAATTGCTTGGGAACTGGGAGAAGCCATTTCTCAAGTGTCAGTGATGATCCGAGTGAGGGCTGTGTATATTAACCAGAAACTTTGACAATGGAGCAGCTGGGTGATCTTGTCTTTCCTTTTTGAGAGTTCTTCTGTTTTACATGTATAAGTGAACACATGTGTGGGAAGAGATTTTTTTTTATCTCATTCTTGACTTGTAGTTTCCTGAAGTAAAATTACCACGCATTAAAAGGCAAGTGAGTTTTCATAGATATAAAGTCTGCTAATGCACCAGCTGGGTGGAACTTGCTCAATGAACATTTCTTTCTTAACAACTGCTCATCTCTGGAGTATATAGTCTTACTAAAGAATATTCTCTTATTAATGTACTTTGAAATGCTAATCTGACTTGATCATGTTCTTTTCCTCTTTCCAGAAAGTACCGGTATGCTACATCTTCTTTCAAAGGGAAGTTTAAAACTGAAGCTAAAGAGGCAGAAGAGGCAGCAAAAATGGGTACATGGATTTCTATGTCCAAATCACTAGAGTTCATCCACTTAGCAAATGTTAATTGAGCACCCATTCTCAGGAAAAGCCTGCTCTGGGTATTGGGGGTACTGTGATTGTCAGTCAAATGTAGCTCTTATCTCTAGAACCTAAAGTGCACTCTCCATCTCTGGTTTAATTATGATATAATTTAATATCCTTCTTACATTTACCTGCCAACCCTTGTGTGTGCATGCGTGTGTGTATGTATGTGTGTATGCACACATATGTATATGTGTCTGTGTGTGTGTGTGTGTAGGTCAGAGAACAACTTCTAGGAGTCAGTTCTTTCCTTCAATGACGCAGGTTCTGGAGATTCTATTCAGATTGTTTAGGTTTGTGGCAGGTACCTTTACCTGCTAAGCCATCACACTGAACTATAATTTAGTATCTTAAGTATGATTCCTGTACTAGTTAGAGCTAATATTGCTATGATGAAACACCAAATGCAACTTTGGGAAGAAAGGGTTTATTCCCTCCACTTCTCCATGTAACAGTTCTTCATCAAAAGCAGTGAGGGCAGGAACTCAACTAGGGAAGAAAGCTATAGGCAGGAACTGATGCAGAGGCTCTGGTGAGTCATGCTTACCAGCTTGCTCCAAGGGGTTGCTCAAATTGCTTTCTTATATAACTCAGAAAACCAGAATGGTCCTGCTCACAATGGAATAGTTTTTCCACATCATCCCCTGATTTAGAAAATACCCTAAAGGCTTTATTGAAGGCTGATCCTCTAGAGGCATTTTCTCAATTGAGCTTCCCCCATCTCAGGTAACTATAGCTTGTGCCTTTTTGACATAAAGCCAGCCAGCACAATTCCCAACATATTAGGAATTAATTGATTAGAAACTCTGGATGCTATGATGCTGTGTCAGCTTATGTTAAAGATGAACATTGCCTCTATTTGGGAAGTACATTCACCCTTCCATTTGGACTTGGCTTGCTGGCCAGTGAGCTTTCTGGATCTGCTTGTCTCTACCCCACAATGTTGGGGTTGTATAAACATGCAATCTCTCTCCGCTTTCTATGTTGGTGGTTGGGATTCAAACCCAGCTCAGCAGGCTTCAAACCCACAACAGCATCTTTCATCTGCCTCAAATAGAAGAGTTAAAATGAGTAAGATCTCTGAGAGGACCACATGGTTTTCAGGTTGTGGTCTCTGTGCCATCCATGGTGGTCATGGTTACAAGTATAGAAAACATGTGCTTAGAGATGGCTTGGAAGAGTCTCTCTGTGTTATAACTAACTGTTGTGCTTCCGTTTCCAGCGGAACTCAACTTGAAAGAACTGCAAGTCAAAGTACACCAGCCCAACAGAATTTCTCCGTCCTCTGAAAAGGCACGACACACACAAAGCTAGTGGCGAGGAACAGCACTTGATCTCTCCCCCCCTCCCCCGGGCACCCTTGTCTCTGACCTCGTACTTTCTAAACTCAAATACAGACAGGTTCCAAAGATGATGGGAGTTTTAGCACAGGTAAACGGATGAGGGGGGCGCAGAGACAGGAGAGAAGAGGGAAGGCTGAGGTGAGCAAAAATGAACAGAATTGGGGGTGAATTTCGAGCAGGGCAAAAGAACTTTACCGTCTATTTGTTTAAACTGAAAAGGAAAGCAATACAAGAAAAAGAAAAATAATATAAAGCAGGCAAATGTCTAGCCTAGGAAGCATCCTCAGAAATGTCTATTCAAATTATAGCTCTCCATGGACCCAGATAAATGGGGAAAGCAAGAAGAGGGCTAATAAGCAATCCTTCTTCCCAGTGCTAGGAATCATAGATCATAATTATGAATATTAATCACAGTGCTTCCAGCTTACAACACTCTTTTCTTGTGAGTCGTCTTGCAGAGTTCATAAACAATCTCTGTAATCCATGTAATATGCTCACGAGGAAGGCTCATTATAAAGAACTATAATTATTAATTATAGCATACTGCAGCTAACAGAAAAAAAAGAATATTGCTGCAAGATATGCACTGCAAGTCTTCTTTGACCAAAACCTTGGTGCAATGCATCCACTGTGGTGATTCATGAGGCGCTGCAGGGATTTGCTTTCATGTAAAGAGATGAACAGGAATGGGAGGAGCAATCACTGCCTTTAACTTTCTCTATCACCTCTTCTACAGATTAAATAAATCTGTGCAATGGTGTGGCCTTAACTCTACAAGCCAGGCATCTGTCTAATAAAGTCTCCAGCCGTTTCGTCATGCAGATGGGGTGAAGAGAGGCTGTTGTGTGCTAGAGCTCCAAGCAAAGCAAACTCATGGCTTTCTCAAGATTTCTACATTCTTGCTTTCATTTTTTAAAACATTTATTTATTTATTATGTATACAATATTCTGTCTGTGTGTATGTCTGCAGGCCAGAAGAGGGCACCAGACCTCATTACAGGTGGTTGTGAGCCACCGTGTGGTTGCCGGGAATTGAACTCAGGATCTTTGGAAGAGCAGGCAATGCTCTTAACCACTGAGCCATCTCTCCAGCCTCTCTTGCTTTCATTTTTAAGGAACAAAAACCTATATTATTTTTATTTTATTGTATTTTAAGCTTTTTAAAATGTTGTTTCTAAAAGCATCAGTGCCCTTTGAGTTCTCTATATGGGAGCCGAGAGAAATGGAGTCTCATGGGCCAGGGTCTTGCTCCTGTCCTTGTACCTCCGCCCTGTGTTGGGTGAGTGCTCTGCCTGGTAGGGTAGGTTGTCTTTTTACCAGCTTGCTTTGTAGCTCTGAAGAGTCCTTGTTACTCTAGTGTAGAGAAGACACCGAAGTGGAGAAACCTGAACTGCTGACCTCTTACAAGCTCCCAAGCAGCTTAATATGAAATCCTTTGCACTTAACCCAGCCTCCCCCTCTCTAACTTGAGAGATAGCGAAAGTGGTGTTCTGTCAGTGATACAGCCACTGATAGTGCCATCATCAAGAGGTATCGTCAGTCATATGCCATGAGTGAAGCTCTTTAAATGTTTATTTTGGGGTTTTGTGTTTTTGTTTTTTTGAGACAGGGTTTCTTTGTGTAGCCCTGGCTGTCCTAGAACTAGTTCTGTAGACCAGGCTGCCTCCAAACCTATGGAGATCTGCCTGCCTCTGCCTCCCAAGTGCTGCGATTAAAGGCAGGGATGTCAATCAATTCTTTTTAAAAAAGTATTTATTAGTACATGTTTTATATGATAACGAGTCTCCTTGTAACATTTACATGCACGCATGTAATGCCTTTTGATTCCATTCACCTCCATTGCCCTCTGTCTCCTACTGATGTCTCTTCCCAACAAGTCTCCATAAAAGCCTATTCTTATCTATGAGAACAGTAATAGCAAACTCTTCTTTTGCAGCCTCAATTAGAGGGAATGGAAGCATACTAGAGATAAGTGGGGAGAAAGCCACTGTATCAGATTAAAAGAAAGACAGACTTTCGAATGACTTTTGAACACTCTAAAAAAGAAAAAAACCTGAGGAACCTATAAAGGGAACATTCGGGAACTGTGTGTTCAGAATTTGATAAGGAGGAGACATATTAGGAGGAATACTAACAAAAGTTATTACTACTCCGCCCCCCCCCCCACCACCAATATACCTTAGTGACTGCAAACTCCAGGATTCCTGTTCCCTCAGACAAAAGTCAGGGTCTATATGCACTGAATAACTTACTCAAGTTTTCATGTGTTTCAAGGGTTTGTGTCAAAACCCTTCTACCACATATGGAGTAAAATGAAGGCAGAGGGATCTTAGAATGTGTGCAAAGAAAATAATAGAGGTGGGCTTAGTGTGGATTCTGGAAGTACTGGACTGTAGTCTATTACTGTGTGTCTGTGGAGTTCCTACCGTGTGAACTGCGTTAGAGAAGATGAGCTGTCCCTACTGCTCCAGAGCCTAGAGGTAACAGGGTGTTAGCTCAGTTTGCATCAATTCAGTGTCCCTATGCTTCTTCTCAACTAAAATATCCTTCTCTAGGATGGATTACAGAAAGCTGGGGATGATGTGGAAACAAAGCATAAGAACCTTCAACAGAAACAGAGGTAAGGCTTATGGCTTTCTGTCTGTGAGGCCCTCCAGTGCTGGGTCAAGTTCTTATTTCTAAGTGAGCAGATTTCGAGTTATGATGACAGTTTCTCTCTCTTAATGTGTGATGGATTATAAGAGTAAATCTTAATAGGATGACGCTTCCCCAGCCAAGACACACATTGTAAAACACAGCTGATGTTTTTTATTGACATACACATTTGTGTCTATATAATGTTGGAGACAAACCAGAAACACTCTCAGAATTTGACAGTTTAGACTTCATGAAGATGTGTATGTAAAGAGACACAAGCAGGCAACACCTCCACTGTGCCTCTGCCATCTGTCCTTACCTCTCTCTACAGCAGTGGCTCTCAGCCTTCCCAATGCTGCCGCCCTTTAACATAAGTCCTCATGTTGTGATGTCCCCCAATCATAAAATTAGTTCTGCTGCCGCTACATAACTTTAATTTTGCTGCTGTAATAAATTGCAACGGAAATATTTGTGTTTTCTGATGGTCTTAGACAACCCTGTGAAAGGCCATTCGATCTTCAAATGGGTCACGACCCACAGGTTGAGAACTACTGCTTTAGAGAACTTAAAATTTAAAATGGGAAACAAAACTTGAAGGAAAGTGTCACTTATAGGTATTTAAAATAAACATGGCAAAACTATAAAAAAACCCCACTATTTTCATTTGTAAGTTTGACTTATAGCAAAAAAGTACTGCTGCACAAACCAAATCAGACTTTGAGAACTGACAGCTTCAAGAACCTTCTTCGTAGGGAACAGTGATTAGTTTTCAGCATCGTTGTGGTCATATATTTACAACTTTAAATTTAAGCTTAAATGTTAATTATGCAGATATCAGAAGTAAATTTAAGATGCTACGCATTTACCAGAATTATCTAAGTTTCTTAGAAATTTCTATTGAAAACTAAGATTTCTAGTTTGCAGAAAGAAAACCTTTGTCGATAACTTGTTTCTAGCCATAGTGGAATGTATTAAAATTAACCTGTACTGACAAAAACAGCAGGTGCCTTGAACGGTTTGATTGGGTTGCTTATTTTTAAAGTTAGCATGCGATGTAATGGCGTCATGTCACACAAAGGCTGTTTTCTCATTTTGTTTTAGAGAGGGTCTCACTGTGTAGCCATGGCTGGCCTAGAATTCACTATGTGGACTAGTTTGACCTCAGAATCACAGAGATCCACTAGCCTCTGATTCCTCAATGCCAGGGTTAAAGATGTTCACTCCCCCACCTGTGCTTTCTAACTCTGTGGGCAACCAGCATGTCCCTTACTGCAGAATGATGATGTCACATCGTCTAAGGCTCTGTTCCGAGAGACTCACACTGTCAGTCGGCATCATTTGTTGCAGAATTGGGATCACATAGTTAAGGCTTTCGAGAGAGGCTTTGATCTATATATTACCTTACGTAATATGTCATCACGTAATACATTAACGGACGTCAGCAGATCAACCTGTAAGAACAGAGGAAAGACCCCATTTGTTGTCACTTGGGGCTGAGAAAGGATGATTTGTTATACCTCTAGCCATTCCAAATTCATTTCTAAAATCCTGTCTTGGTCTTTACCATACCCCGTGTCTGGGCAGACATTTTCCCATGTAGCAGGTGCGACACAGTGTTCAAGTTGCTCTTGGTTGCCCGGTTACTATGAACATGAGCCAAACCCCTGTCTCACAGCCAGGTGGTTTGCACAGCTCCAGCAGCCTCCCCGTCCCATGGCTGTCTGTATCACATTCTGCTATTTCTCAGTTTCTGTTTTAGCCACAAAAATATGAAGTATAATAAAAAATGAAATCAAACAAAGAAACAAGAACAAGTAGTGCCTAGTCTATCCGTTACCACGTCATTCACTCCATCATTTAGCTTCTGAGCTTTGACAAATGTTAGACGGTAAGCTAGAGATACATTGTTGGCACCGTTTAGTCTGAGTAAGTTATTTGGGAATTTGAGAACACACTGCAAGTGGGAAACACAAGCCATGTCAGTAACTTTTTTTTAAGAGCCACGTTATCATTTTTCAATACTTCTGTTATGATGGCTATTTTATGTTGTCAACTGGATTACATCTGGAACTCACTAAAACGTAAATGTACACCTGTATGGGAATTTTTCTTCATTAAATTATGTGAACTGGGAAGATACACTTTTAATCCAGATCTTTTGAGGTGGAAAGATTCCCCCTTTAATATAAGCCACACCTCCTGCTGTCAGCCTATATGAAGGACATGGAAGAAGGAAGCTTGCCCTCTTTGCTTTCTTTTTTCTGCTCTCACTGGCAAGTCCATTCTTTCACTTGCTTTAGAGCCTATTTCTTTTTTTTTGTTTTTTTTCAATTTACAAATTTATTTTTAATAATAAATTAATAGTGAAATTAAAATAGTTAAAATATTTCTAAAATAGAATGATATCAAGAAAAGATTGTTATTGATTTCATAGTGATTGAATGAAAGAAAACAATCCAAAAGCATGTAAGCAGTGTAAAATTTCCACCACTTTCAGTCTCTTCAAATACAAGAAAATATGAAGACAATTGTTTGCAAGTCACTCTTGTATAGAAAGCTGTCATGCTTTGAATAATGAGCCAATCAATAATATAGAATAAAATATTTACCAGAATTTGTTTCAAAAGTTCAATATGAATACTATTCATTAAACTATACACAATGAGTTCCAAGCTAGCTGGAACTTTCTAATAATGTCCTGTAGAGCCTATTTCTTCGGGAGTTTGATGTATACTGAAGACCAGTTGAGACATCCAGTCTTGTGGATCAAACAACTACCACACTCTTGCCAGGAGTGTTTTTAGAGAACCAGAAGTATAAGGATAGATTTTTTTTTTTAAAGTATCTGGAGCAGGCTTTCTAATTGGCCAACTCCTACAGTTACTGAAGCCCCTTCTAGGAGCTCAGGGAGCAGTGACAGCCCATGTAGGTGAACTATTTTATGAAGTTAAGGAAATAAATGCATTTGATTATCCTGATTCACCAGTTGTAACAGGCAATGGATTTAGTGACTCTGTTTATGAAACTTTTGATAATTTGTGGAAAAGCAAGGGAAATAATGATTCTGGTCAGTTGCTCCTGGCATCTCTGGGTAAATTGACAAAGGAAAAAATGAGTTCCATGCTAAAATCAATCAACTTCTCTCATCTTAGAATATGGTGAAGAACAACAATAAATTCAGTGGTAACAAAGACCAGCTCCAGATGTGCGTTAACAGTTTAAAGGTTTCTATGTGTGTCCTGGAAGAGAGAATCGTCTCTCCAGCAGCCACAGATCTCAAGTTGTGAGAAGTCAGTGAGAAGACTGGCTGAATTACAGTGAACATTTAAGTCTTAGCTTCAGAGGGTGTCAGTGGTTAAAGTAAGGACATTAATTGGTGAAAAATGGGATCCTGTAACTTGTGATAGAGATGTGTGGAAAGATTTACTGAGACTGAGAACTTCGAATCTTCAGATTTTCAAGGATTTATTTCATCCAAGGAAATAGTCTCTCCACTCTCAGCAGAATATGTAACCGCACCCCTGAAATATTGCCTTTTATACCTTTGACAAGGGAAATTAATCTTTTAAACTAGCAGTGACTTTCTTTGAAGGAGATGTCAGGCAAGACAACACAAATGTCCCTCCAGCCCCACAAATAGTTGCTCTAGATCCATAACCAGACTTAAGGCTCCTCGAGCGGAGGTAGAAAGTGTAGACCATGTGGGGGTGCACTACATACACCGCTGTCAATCACGATCAATAAAAACTCAGAGAAATTGGGCTTTAACTTGAAGATCTGAAAAGCAAAGCAACCAGCCACTAACTCTTACCTCAACCGCAGTCCGAAATGGAGATCCTGCTTCCAGGAATGTCAGAGTGAGACTGAGAATTTGTCTCCTCCCATTTTATAATCCTCTCTAGGGCTGGATTAAAGGCATGCACCACTGTGATTAGAGATATGAACCATTTGGTTTTTTATGGCAACTAGTGTGGCTACTGGGCTTAAAGGTGTGTGTTACCACTGCTTATAACACTGTCCAGTGGGGCTGTCTTACTCTCTGATGTTCAGGAAAGCTTTATTTATTAAAATACAATTGAAATGCCACTACATTCCTGAAGAGCTAGATGAGTTTACTAATTCATTTAAACAGAAGTCTGGGGAATGCGTGGGAAAAGAATTTAGGGGTGGGGGTAACGTTGGAAGGAATATAAAGCTGGATCAGGCTGAATTCTTTGGTGTGGGCTCATTGTGTGGAGCTCCTAGGTTTACTATGGAAAACTATTTTTACACAGTTAAAAATAGTTGTCAAAAGTTTGACTAACTAACTGGAAACTTTGTCAAAAGATGGCCTATGGAAAATGAGTTGGAGATGCGCAATAACTCTTCGCTTAGTACTGATGAAAGGATTTGAAGACTCAGGGAAATGGCAACATTAGAATGGGTATGCTATGTCACTCTAATCCTCCACTATGGAAAGTCTCAGAAGACATGCCCATCGCTAACGTCATAAGATGAAAAAGGGTGAGGGGATGCCAGCTCCTTGCCTGCTATCAGACCTTAGTGAAAACTGCAAGTCTGAGAGTGGGCCACCAAATTGCCATGGAACTTGAGCTGCCCATCATGATCTGGGTATTATCTGACCCACTGAGCCATAAAGTAGGACTTTCACAGCAGCAATAGAATATCAAATATGTGATCCGCCAGACTGGGTCCTGAAGGCACAGACGGGTTACATGAAGAAACTGCCCAAATGCCTATGGTTTCTGCTCCTGTGAGTGCTGCAGCCTCCCAGGCATGCAGCTATAGCTGCAAGGACTATGTCCTGTGATCAGTTGACTGAGGAAGAGAAGACAGGGCCTAGTTGACTGCTGATTATGCACGTTCTGAAGACTCCACCCAGAGGTAGACAGCTGCAGCATTACAGCCCCTTTTTGAAACACCTCTGAAAGACACTGGTGAAGGGAAATCTTCACAGTGGGCAAAACTTTGGGCAGTACACATGGTCATCTATTTTGTTTGGAAGGTAAACGGACAATCTCTTCATTGATTTTCATGCTGTAGGTCAGTGGATGGACAGGGACTTGAACAGAACTTGATTAGACAATTGGTGGGAGATATCTGGGAAAGATGTATGTGGATGGATCTCTGCAAATGAGTGTAGGATATGAAGATATTTGTGCCCCATGTAAATGCTCATCAAAAGATGATGTCAGCTAGCTGAGGAGTTTAGTAATCAAGTATACACAATTATCTGTTCTGTGGTCAATCAACCTCTTTCCCTAGTCACCCCTGTCATTAACCAGTGGACCTATGAACAAAGTCAACATCAGAGTCAAGCACTGAGCATCAGATATGTCACCATTCTCCAGAGTGACCAGACAGCCATGTGGTGGCAAGTTGACATTGAAGGACTCCCTCTATGAAAAGGGCAATTTGTCCTTAGTGGAGTATTCTGCTTATAAATTTGCCTTTCCTGCACACAATGCTTATGCCAAAACCACCATCCATGGACTTACAGAATGCACTATTCATCATCATGGTATTCCACACTGTATTGCTTCTGACGACAGAGCTCATTTCATAGCCAGAGAAGTACGAGAGTGGACCCACGGTCATGGCCTCCAGCCGGATGTGTTCCCCATTATGTGGAAACAGATGTCCTGATACAGCTACAGCACCAGTTAGATAGCAACAGCCTGGAGGGCTGGGGGCAGTGTTCTTTGGAAAGAGGTGGATGATTTGAATCAGTGTCCAATACATGGTGCTGTTTCTCCCATAGCTATATCCACCAGGTTTTTGCAAAATATCTGTCATGTTATAGATCATTCTTTTGATGTCTGTCTTCGGAGTTTTATTATCAGGCACTTGTATAAATTTTATATTTTGCTTTGATAGAGCACTTTTAACTGCCTTTGTAAATACAATTCTAGGGCATTGAGGAAAGCAAGAATACTCTCCTTGTTCTTCGGAGTGCACATAGAAGACCAGAACCAAGCTGGAATGTTCATTTACAGTAATAACCGGCTGATTAAAATGCACGAGAAGGTTGGTCCCCAGCTGAAAATGAAGTCCTTGTAAGTAAACTTCTTTCTTGAGTCAAAGGCAGTGCAGGGAGCCCACAGTCCACTTCTGTCTGTGGTGCTAGATTCATCACAATACGAGTCCCGTTTGCCTCTCAGCTTTCCTCTCATGGAATTAATCTGCCTAACTTATAATAACATGAGGCTGTATGCTGGTCTCAGAAGAAAATCACATTTTTAGAAAAATATTGTTTCTAATGCTTTTCCTTATGTCTTTCAATCCCTTATATCATCTTTTCAAATGTCCAATATTTTACCAATTAAAAAAAAATAGAAATTAAAGAAATATTAACAGGGGGTGGGGAACCAAGCTCTTACCTTGTAAGGAAGCCTATTACAGATTTTGCAGCTCTTGCCGGTTACCTGCATGATATTTATTAGCAAACACCTCCAGTCTGTTTAGATTCTAGATTAATGTATTCTGGTGCTAAATTACCATGAACTGCTTTGACAGTTATGTGGAATCTTACAAAGACATCATAGAGAAAGGGAGAGATGGTCCAGCTATTAAAGGCCAGTCTCACAACCAAAAGGACAAAAGATAGAGACATGGTGGAAAAGAACAGATTCAGACATGATGTCTGAGAGGGGTGGAGTGAGTGGGTGGGGGTGGGGGGCTTTGGTCTTCTTTCAGTCTCATGCTCAGGGAACTAGCTCTTCATTCATTGCTCGGGCAAAAGCGGGTTGCATTTTCTTGTGCCTGTAGGGTTGGACTAAGCCCTGCAGACATAAAGGTCAAGGGTGACCATCTTTTGTTGAGGAGCATGAGTGCCCTTTAAAGTTGTGCACCACCAGTGAGAACAATATTTTGTTGTTATTCAGTTTTAAGGATAGCATACAAAGTGACCAGTTTCATCATGGCATCTTCATATGTGTGGCATTCCTTTCCCCCATGCCCTTCAAAGCTCTCTTACCCTTCCAGCTAATTCCCTTTCTTCCCTCCCACCCCCACCTAGTGAGTCTGCCTTTCTATGTTCTGATCACATGCATTCCAGCACATGTTCTCTTTCTTTTTTATTTTAGATTGACGTTTATTAGGTTTCAGTGTGTCATATGAATACAGATGCCTTTGGAGGGCAGAGACATCACAAGCAGTTGTGAGTGACCTGAATGCAAGTGCTGGGAATCAAACTCGGGTCCTCTGCAAGAGCAGTACTTGTTCTTAACCGCTGAGCTATCTCTTCAGCTCTTTACACGTTTTATTTCACACTTTTCTTAAGAACTTTTCCTTCCCTCTCATGGTCCTTTTTTTGAGTTCTATGACCAATAGATACATTCATATGCACACAACTGTACATATAAATCTAAACTTTAAAAAATAGAGAATATAGGCTCTATTTGTCATTCACAGCCTGTCATTTCTTTCAGCATAATGTTTTCCAGTTTTGTGAATTTTCCTTCTCATGTCATATTTTCATTTTTCCTTATGGCTGAGTAAGATTTTGCTTCCTATATGAACCCCGTTTTCTTTATCCATTCATCTATTGATGGATGGCTAGGCTGACTCCTATTGACTGGTATAGTAGTATATATATATATATATATATATATATATATATATATATATATATATCCCTGAGATATGGTGACAGAGACTTTCAGGTAGATGCTCAAGAATGAGAGAGCTGGGTCATGTGATATCTCTGCCTTCTGTTTCATGAAGAACCTCTGTACCGAATTCCCTTATGACTGCATAAGCTTGCATTTTTACCAGCAGTGGATAGGGTTCTTCTTTGTCCACATCTTCATCAGCGTTTGTTGCCTTCATTTTCTTGGTGATGGCCATTCTTACTAGGGTAAGACAAAATTCCAAAGCAGTTTTAATTTCTATTTTCCCTGATGGTTAGTGATGCTGAATTCCTTTTAAAATATATATTGGTTATGTGACTTTATTCTTTTCAGAATTATCCTTTTTAGTTCATTCATCCAATTATTGATGATATGATTTTGTTTTATGGCATTTAGTTTTTGAAGTTATAGGTCCTGGATATTAATCCCCATCTGATATGTAACTAATAAATATTTCTTCTGCGATGTATGTGATTTCTTCATACTGTTGTGATTGTTGCTTTTGCTATGCAAAAGCTTTTTAATTTTATAAACCCATTTATAATCTTAGGATTGTTCCCCATGCTATTGGAACCCCTATTAGAAAAATCAACTTCCATGCTTATATTTTGAGGTGTTTTTCTTTAGCAGTGGGAAAGTTTCAGGTCTTACAATATGATCTTTGACCCATTTTTAATGGTCAAGGTGGGAGATATGGATCTAATTTCACTCTTCTATGTGTGAAAATCCAATATTCAGAGCACTAGTCTTTCTACAGCATACAGTTTTGACAGCTTTGCCATAAGTTAGAGATCTGCAATTGTGTAAGCTTGTTTCTGGGTCCTTCATTCTATTCTATTGTTCCACAGGTATATTTTCTGTGCTATTGCTCTTGAGTATGGCTCTATAATGCCTGCAGCATTGGGATCTTCTTACACTGTCTTTCCCCCTAAGGATTGCTTTAGTTATTTGGAAAAATATTTTGTGCTTCAATTTGAATTTTATTATTTTTTTCTTGTTTGGTGCATCTATGTATTTTGTAATACACCTGTTTTCAAAATATTGATTATTCCTATCCATGAACATGGGAGATTTTCCCTATGTTTTTTTCTTCAGTGTCTCAAAGACTTCATTGTAGAAGTCTTTTATTTCCTGGCTTAGGTTTATTCTAATTGTTTTGATTCTGTGAATTGGATTCCCTTCCCCATAACTGGCATTTTAAAAAGCTATTAAGTCATTATCATGCATAATTAACATGTGCCAATAAAGTATTAAAAGATAAGAAGATACAAACTCAAGCTATTGATTTTTTTGTATGGTGAACTTTGTATCTTGGGACATTGCTGAAAAGGATTTTTGAGGCCTAAGAATTTTCAGTAGACTCTTTAGGGTCTTTGAAGCACAAGGTTGTGTGATCTGCAAGTTGGGATAGTTAGTTCTTTTTTTTTATTTGTAAAATGATTTTTTTTTTTTGAGACAGGGTTTCTCTGTGGTTTTGGAGCCTGTCCTGGAACTAGCTCTTGTAGACCAGGCTGGTCTCGAACTCACAGAGATCCGCCTGCCTCTGCCTCCCGAGTGCTGGGATTAAAGGCGTGCGCCACCACCGCCCGGCCTTGTAAAATGATTTTTAAAAAATTCAACTTAGTTGGTTTTTTTGCATAAGATTTGATTAGCTACCTTAGCAATTGGTATTATTAAACCTCCTGTCTTTAGATCTTTCAACTGTTCACCTTGGGATGTTGTTCAGACATGAGTGCTGAAGTCTCTTCCTTGATTACCTAAGTGAAACTGGGCCCTATGGTCACACCCACTGCTACTTTTCACTTTATTTTCCTAAAGCCACTTATCACCATGAGAAATAACTGTGCCCATTTATCTACTTACTACTGCCATGATTGCCATTCTGCAGTGAATGAGAGACAGAGGCCTCATCTTTCTTGCTCTTGTCTAAGTTCCTAGTTTCTGGAACAGGCTCAGGTGCTGACTTTGAATGACTGCATGAATGGATCCTTGGATCCATGAGTAAAGGTGTGTTGTGAGAAAAGGGCAGGAAACGAAACAAGGAAGTCACGTAGGCCATATGTGTGAGACACAGATTAGACTTGCAAAATGAGCAATAAAGGGAGAGGGAGAGGAAGACAGTAGTGAAGCACAAAGCAGACGGGGGCCTCAATTTGGGACGGTGTGAGGAATGCTATTGCAAGAGCAGTGGGTTTTACCCAAAATCTGGTGATGTCAAGAATCAAAATAGCCCAAGTGAATGTATATCCTGTGGTCCTAGAAAAGCAGAAGAGAACCCAGAAACCTTTGCACATCAGGTTAATAATCAGATACCTGTCATCACCCTCTGGGCCTGTTATCTTTCCTTAGTAGAACTCAGTGGACACCCCCAAAGACCACTGCAATTGTGAGATACGTAGCAGATGAAATGGGGAAAAAGAAAGTGATTCTCTCTGTAAAGGCATAAGATTCCCCAGGTTGGAAAGAGTATTGGCAATAAATCAATGGCATACTGAAATGGCACTATAGGATACAACCCCCGCCCCCCAGAAAATCACCATGAATAATTAAATATATTTAAGATAGCCTAATAACTTTGGTATGGTCCACACAAAGGCAATTGATTTTATCTGTGGAAGATTTGGTTGCAAGTGACAAGTACATGTTTGCCTTTTCTTCTTCTTTAGCCAGATTTTACAAAGTTCATACATGTATTTACTCCCCCAGACTTGGTGCAGGTGTGATTGGAATTGTCAACGTTCCCTTGGAGATCATGGAACCATCCCATAATAAACAAGAATTCCTCAATGTCCAAGAATACAACCGTCTACTAAAAGTCATGGGACAGTACTTGGTCCAGTACTGTAAGGACACCGGGATCAGTGAGTATTCCATGGCCACTGAAAGGGGTACTTTAAGAGGACTCAAACCTGTGCATTTGTCTTGAAAAGATTCTATTGATTCAAGTAACCAGTAATCCAAAACCCTGAAAGGGGGCTGCTGCTTTGAAAACATAAGAGGAAGATTGGGGTTGTGGCTCAGTGATGAAGCCCTTGTTTAGCTATGAATTCCATTCTTGGCAGTATGAAGTCTAAGTAAATAGAAGTGAAAAAGGAGCCAGTTTTATAATCTTTCCCAGAGTATCATATGAAAAACAAAGCATCAGGTGGTCATCATGGCACATACCTTTAGTCTGAGCACTTGGGTGTCAGCGGCAAGTGAACCTCTTTGAAAATTAGTCCAACTTGCTCTACCACCCAGAGCTACATAGTGAGACCTTCCTTCCTTCCTTCCTTCCTTCCTTCCTTCCTTCCTTCCTTCCTTTCTTCCTTCCTCTCTCTCTCTCCCCCTCTGTGTGTGTTTATCTGTCTGTATGTCTCTTTCTCTCTCTCTTTGTCTCTCTCTCTCACACACACATGTATGCACGTACATGCACACACACATAGAGGCACACATGCACATAAAATCAGACTATAAATTGCAAGAGGAGGGCAATCAATAGTGTGCTGTGGTGGCTGATCAGAGAGAGGCAGAAGATGGCTCCCAAGAGATCGAGAACCTTTAGAGGGTCTTGCGAGGCTCCATTGTCTGGGAGCACACAGTTCCGTATGGACCTGAGAATCTCTTGCCATCCCATACTGTTGAATAAAAAATATCAATGAGTGTGACTCTAGATAAGTCAAATGGTATTCTGTAGATCTAATATTTGCTGAGAATGCTAATACTGAAAACATTTCAATTAAACATAAATGTTTGGAAAATTAAAGGTACACACCAGTTATCTGGAAAATTTCATCTGTTATCACCTCACTTCCCAGAGATATTTGAACAGTGACTTGCTATCCTATGCATTAATGAAACAAATACTTTGTAATTTGGGCAGACATAGCACTTCACTTATAGAAAGGAACATTAGCTACTGTGAATCTGTTCAATGATTGACTTGAGGTATATATAATACAAGGCTATCAAAAATAGTCTACCCTTGGGCAACTTAAGAAGTTATTATTATTCTCCTTGAAGTAGAGGGTTTTCTAATTTTTAGAGTGTTTTCTCTTCTTGTGTACTCACTGCAATTGCACCTGGAAATTCCTCACCAGTGAAACAGAGGGAAAATGCAGGAATTCATAGGACAGTAGAGCAGACTAGTGCCCAACCAAGCATGTTCGTGTCATCGTCTATCTATGCTGTGGTCTATGGACCAGCAGCATCCATACCTTATACATCTCCCCCTCAAAGGCATATTTGAAGTTACACTAGTCAGGGGGATTACAGGTTCTACTTAAAGCTGTAGAAAGCATAGAAAGTTATAAATATTAGTGCAATCATAAGCATAAATAAAGTGAAATAGAAGTTAAGCACATGCTCCTTGGTTTTCAAGTGTGGACATATACAGAATGAAAGCAGTGAGCATTTGAAATTGTGGGGCTCCTGTTCTCTTCATATCCTCTCAGTAATGCAGAGCTTGGCCTCCTAGCCTTGTAGTAAGGAATGAAGTTCCCACAAAGAGCTAGCATACATTGAAAGGTCGTAGAGCTATCTCCATAACATGCTTGGCGTGTCATGGTCCTGTTGTGCATGGAGCTTGCTCCATCCCTTGGCCTGGTGCGTGTGTGTGTGTGTGTGTGTGTGTGTGTGTGTGCACTGTCAGCAGTCCTGTTCTCCTGTCTTGCTGTCACTTGCCACCTCTCCTCATCAATTTTGTTATTCCCTGTCCTTATCCTATCTACCTCCCCCACTTTCCTTCAAAATCCTCTCAAGTGATGTAATATGATTCAAAATAATTTATCTATCTCTGTTTCTTTTAATATTAGTTAATAACATTGTTTTTCTAATTCTATAATTGCCTATAAATCAATTTAAGGATGGAGGATACTTTTAGAAGAAAGAAAAGAATTCAGAAGGAAGACAGACCAGAAGCAGAGTAGCAAACATGGACAGTGGTTTCTATATTACCAAGTCCTCTAAATTTCACTGAAAACTGGAATTCCGTCAGCAAGGTCTGGCCCGATAGTTTCATTAACTTATGAGCACACCGACCTTCGCCAGAATAGCAAAAGTCATGTAATGCTTGACTAATACTCTTAGAGCCAGTACAACAGGGCACGCTGTTTTAATGAAAAGTATTTGAGAGGTTTTAGGATTTTTTTCCTTATAAATAAAAGATGCAATCTTTGTATTTGCTGTAAATCTGATCTGTTCCTATGGAAAATTGGACCCTTGTGAAAAATTCAAATCAGCAGAAAGAGAAATGCAGAGGGAATGACTTTGTGTCGTTTGCCAATTCTGCATTTACTTTTGCACAGTGGATCCTAAGGATATCAGAAACAGTGCTAACCAAGGCTGACCTCACCTCACTGTTGACAACTGTTTCCTGAAGTCTTCTGTATCCCAACAACTCTATTGCTGTTCTTCAGCTTTGAGGAGTAGGGAGAGAAGAAGATAGGAATCCCGGGTGAAACATCAAATGACATTTGAGGTCGCATGTAATCTATCATATAGAAATATGTTATTAACTCTATAAACCGATCAGAATGGAACCAATTACTAAAATGAAATCTATGATGTAATAAACATAATCTTTCCCAACAAAATTCAGTACATTCTCAGGAATGTAATAAAAAACCCCAACATTTAGTCAAGTCTCCTCCATCCCCTAGCCTCACTGCTACTCAGCCCTGAGACATGGCCTACACAGAAGCACACGCGCCACCTCTCCAGGCTGCCTGGGAATCTCAGCATCAAAGTCTTTCTAAATGTCTTCAGAATTTTTCACTTTCTCATGTTTATTTTCATTCAGTCTGCTATGGTAGGTACTAGTGTTCTAGAACTGACCAGTCAAAATCAAATGTGGTCTACTCTTGTCTAGTATCTTCAAATCTAGTAATAGATTGCTGTGTTCTGAATATTGTGTCTACCCCACAGTAGTAAGTTGAAACCCGGACCCCTTGGGAGGATGGGATTGGGAGGAGAGCACTTTGGGAAGTGCTAGTGTCCTGAGAGCAGACGCCCCATATTTGTGATTAATATAACAAAGGAGCAAGTGAGGGTAGAGAGAGAAGGCACATTCCTGGGCCAGGAGGGGAGCCCATGGCTACACGCCTGTCAGGGCATTGTTCTTGGACTTCGCAGCCTTCAGCGCTAGGAGAAGCAAATTTCCATGTCTTGTAAGTCACCCAGTCTATGCAACCCAGACGGACTAAGGCACAGAGCTAACCTGCTCTGACAGACAGTTAGAAACAGAATTGTTGTCTAGTAGAGAAGAATGAAAAGGGAAGCCGCAGCCAGTATCTGACAAGCTCCAGCCTTTGGGCTAGGACATGTTTCCCGGAGGAAGTGATTATTTCTGAAGGACAAATAAGAGTGGACAGGCTACCCTGGCTCTATCCGCATAAGCTGTGGGGAATAGGCTCAAAGTCTTTCCAGCTGTGAGCTGCTAAGATCCTTGAAGGCAGCTCACGTCTCTCTTTAGCCTTGTTTAGCCTTTACTAACAGCTCCAATCCGCGGTTATTGTTCACGTGGGCAGAACTCGGTTGCTCTGTCATTCTGGTGCTTACACGGTGAAGTATCACCTGGAAGAAAATGTTCCAGAGGAAGCACAGAAAGCTTGACTGACATAGGATCATCACTTCCTTTGGAGTGCTTGTTTTGGTTTCAGTGTAGCTTGATAGTGCATAAACTCTTCGTAAGCCCACTAGTGACCCTTGGAATATTTATTGCTAACTAAAAAATTCAACAAAAAATTTAATGTGAGTTTATCTAAAGCCAGACTTAGCTATACTTTAATCTTTCGGAAAGCCGGTTTTTTTAGTCCCTACTGTACAATTGTGCATGTCCTCACTTCAAATTTTATGACCTTACTTGCCCCAAGTCATTGCTGACTTACAGATGGAGTATTATCGTACAATATTTGTGGAAAGTGAATATTCTATATGGTTTCATGTGAATCCTGTTGCATAAGATGGAGAAAAAAAAGCATTAGGGCCTTGAATAATGGTCTCCATTGAAGTAGACATAGATATGTAGGGCACTGGCTTCAATTACAAGTTTTCCTAACTAGTTTGTTAGTAAATCACATCTATTTCTAGATTTCTGCTTAATTTAAATTAAATTAAACTTAATATGTTTAGAGTCAATATATTTTTAAAAGATGGATAATGTTCTCCTGAGTAAAGCTGTCTACTGCATCACAAGATTTCCTTTCCCTGTGGATGCAATTTAGTTTCTCAGATGTTGGAACCTCACTACAAGGAAAACAGACTGCTTCATCCTTCTAGAGACAAGTGTGTGTAAACAAAAAGGTGAAAACACGAGACAAGTTTAAGATCTAAGCCAAGAACAATCCATATCTTTTAATTTTACTTTATGAATCTATGAGATTTATACATTTGTTTTGATTTTAAATGCTGTATCTAAATACTATATTTTGTGAATATTTTTATCATACTGTTGTGGTTTGAGGTGTGTCCCTCTGAAAGTCCCATTTTGAAGCCTTAGTCCTAATATGTGAGGGTGTGACTCTTTTTGAAGATACATCCTTTAAAGAAATACTTAGATTAAGATGGAATTGTTAGTGTGGACTCTATTTCAACTGGCCCAGCGTCCTTGTAAGAGGATATTTAGTCACACAAGAGAGACCCTAGGGACAGACACAGTAAAAGAGTAGACTGTGGAGGAAGACACCAGAAGGTGGTCATCTGCAAGAAAGAGCAGAGGCCACAAGGACAGGTGCACATCAAAGCCATGGACCAATGCATCAAGGGAGTGGCCTTCTGCAAATAAGGGGGGCACCTCAGAAGGGAATGAGAGTGTGTTGTTTGGCCAGCTAATCTGGGAGTCTCAGCTGCTATGGGAGGCCAAGGAAAAACATGGAAGCTCCAT